AGGACAACATCTACGTTAAAATCTAGCAACCCCACAGCGAGGGTGTGGAATAACCTCTTTACTCATCCGGAGGGTCTCATCCATGCCTTGCAGTGAAGCTGGAACTTTTTCCTTCGGAGCTGCCTGCAAAACCACTTCAAGTCTAAGTAGGTTAGGGTTTAGGGTTTGGGGTTTAGGGTCATGCGTTTAGGGATCATGGGTGTAGTAGGGCTCAGGGTTTAGGGTTTAGCATTTAGGGTAGGGATCATGAGATTGTATACTACCCCCCCCTTACTCCCCTCGCGAGGATAATAAGGCTTAAACGAATCCTGATGAGGCCTTGTTGGGGGTTACTTTGGGGGGAGTAGGGTGGGTAGTATAGGATCCCCCATGAAAGGATACCTTGAGTAGATGAATTGGAGTTTCTCAATTTAGGGGGTTATAAGGGGATTCTGGGGTCTAGGGATCACAGACAGATTGCTTTGATAACTCCCAAATAGGTATGTGTATACGTAGGGGCGGTATAGGATACAGCCTCTAGGCTTCTTTGAATGGGTAATCATGTGTATGTGGGAGCTTTGACGTGCATCCCATGAGCTTCTGAATCTTCGGAGTCTCCATCTACTTCAAACTGATAAGAGCGAGAACCTATACAAGCAGGCCCGACCCGAGGAATGAAGGGCTTCTAAAGGAGTGAGCAGAGTTTGGGACCCATCCGAACTCTTTACAATGTTGTTCTTTGCAATGACGGTTTGAAAGGCAAACATGGTCAAGGAGTCCCACACAAGAAGTTGCTATAGTTACCCCTCAATTCCTGTCTGGGCATCTCGTTTCTAGCCCTCTTGCTGGTACCACTGTGACTGCTATGAGTATTGCTATTACATGCTATTACTACTTCCTAATATAACGAGCCTTGCCTGGCCATGGCATCGTCAAACTTCCACTGGTATGCGTACCTGCGAATAGCAGTGGAAGCAATCCTGTCAGGGGGGCATCCTCACTGTACGGATCGTCATCCGAATTGCTGTAAAGGAGCCAGATTCCCATCGTATGGCTTAGTGGTGAATGGCAGGGCTTCGCTTCGTCTTAATTGCAACCAAGTTAACTCAAATCAAGTTCCCAGAGTAAATATGTACGGTAAACATGGTCTCCTTCTCATGGTGACCGCATTAAAGTTCCTGAGCAGCATAGTAACTATGCTTACCCTGAGGCTTACCAAGCTGGCATTCAGGCATCATAGCTTATTGGGTGCTCATACACCAACCATTTAGAGTGCATGTTCTGCTGTTGCTTCAGGGCATGGACGGCGAGGATGCATGCCTGATTCTCATGTAGATTGCTAATCCAAATTGTCTTTGAACTGTTCTGACCTTCTTGTGGGACTAAGTGCAGCGTGAAAGGCTCGATAATGTCGATGCGGTGACCCAACGCATCCTTCTTGGTGTTCACGGAAATGATCTCCTCGCAACTCTAGCGTGTGCAAAGGCCATGGCCGCTCGGTGAGACAGGGTGCCTTGGTACATAAAGATAATTGTTGCGGCTTATATGCTTTTGTAGGGGTCTTTTATACGGAGGCAGCATCTACTTTGACATCTACCCTCGTGGCTTTGCAAGCTTGCTCGGGATGTCCATGGCGCCTGAACCCAAAGATGGTATCTGCGAAGGGTGATGCTTCAATGGCATTAAACTTAGCCACGCACTAAGGTTCGGGAGATGCACCGAGGGCTGTGGCTGAGCCTCATCATTCATTACTCCCCCTCACCCCAACCTTCCAAAAATTGACCCCAAATGAGCCATCGTCTAAACTCCTAGTATCCCCTCTATTAGTCCCCTCTAAAATCCCCTATATAACCCCCTTTGAAGGAGTTTAGATTATACATCCCAAATGAGGTTACTAGCCAATTCTCATCCCACAGGAGCCCATCAGAGCAAAACTTGGGTCCTGCGGAGCCCCCTCGGGGACAACATCCTTCAGCAGCTTCTCACCCACCTTGCCAAGCAAAATCATTGCATTCAGAATTTTTTGTATACTGAATAAGCTGCAAAAACAAACATTGCCACTATACAGTACAGTAATTTAATGGGTAGTATACTAATCGTTACTATGTCGTACCAAATACGCTCATGTACTGTCTCAACTTTAGCGGCTCTTCGGGAGGGCGCTTCCTGCTTCGATCCCGAAGTTTGAGAGGCGTACACAAATGGCCGCTTGATTGACACGTCTTGAAAAACGGGGTTCATGCTACCCAATGGCATCAGGTAATGGCAATACTAGTAGAAATCGCAGTTGGACGGGCATTGAAGTTTCAAGCCGGAGCCTATAGGCATGCACGGCTCAAATCACCCTAAATGCTTGCTTACAGAGCGCTGGGCTGTGTCTTATTCAGCCGAAAGTGCAGACTGCGGTCGTGCACTGCCACACTTTGGTCAGGCAGCTTGATAAGTGATATTCGAAAGAGCATGGGAGGAACCCCTACCCAGAAGTTTTCAGCTTGGGGTTCCTCAGTCTTGCTCCCTATGTCCTTCCTTGTCCTTCCACAAGCACAGGTAAGTTCTCTCGATCGAACTGCAACAAAATGGAAAAGCTTGGGCTCTGTTGTCACGGTCCTCCCAAACCCTGTCGAATGTGCACGTGCTTGTACACGGCTCCTTCAGCATGAGCTGATGCAAAGTCTTACGTTGCGACTCCGCGACTATCGCCAAGCGAGAGGAGGTACAATTTGTCCACTCTGCGTTCGGATGCCCCTCATCATACGTAGAGGTTCTGCTTGCCTTGGATATGATGAGCAGATGGCTAAGCCGCAAAAATCTCCACAACTTCCCGCATATGCGACTGAATGAGCCAAGTTTTTGACACACGCTAAAGGCTTGGCATTTCCTGGAAGCTGGCGTGGCATGTGAGCTATTCGCTGCTTTCCTGAAGTTTGAAGCCCAACACTACATCAGATCAGAGCGCTTGTGTCTGCCAAGGCAAGGAAGCAGAGCCTTGCTAACCCAACAAACACCTAATCTTGGTTTCTAGGGACCCCGAAACTCATTGGTTTGTTTTCAAAACTATGGGCCCCTGTTGGTTATAGCTTATATTACGGCACCATAAGATTTAGGGGTACCGAAATGGGACCCTAATTTTGGGAACTGCCCACATGATGTGCCACACACTTGACTGCAAAACAGAAAGATTTCCAGGACGGGCTCGGGCAGGATTGGGCTGAGCGGCAACTTCCAAATGAATGTGCGTCCTCTCAATCTGGCGAGTGACTCTTACTGTGTAATAGTTAATAGTGATAGCAACTGCAATAATGACGGTACTGAAGCAACAGTGCTCCCTTCTGACAATTTGAGCAGACTTCTCCGGAATAAAGAGTCTCCCAGACCTTGACATGCAGCGCAAGTCCTGGAGGAAATGATGCCAGATCCCCCGGCAAGAGGGTCACCGCCTCACCACCCTGCCGACTCTTCACCAGTTTTGGGGCTTCTGAGGGTTCAGGGGTTCATGTTCAAAGAACGTATCGGCTTCTGAATTCATCAGCAGTCTCATGCGTAGATCGCAGGGACTTTCAGGGATTTGGGATTGTGGAGCAGCTCTTACCCCTTAATAGTGGAGAATGTAATGGAAGATAAAATGGAAAATAAAATAGAAACTTGATGTGTATGGATCCCTATAGTAGTCCCTATATAAGCCATTTCAGATTATGAGATTCCAATATTGGGGTTCGCCCCCAGGCTTGCCCATGATTACCCCACAGCTGTTCCGCAATTTTCGTCTCCTTAAGAGCATGATCAACTTAACCCTGATAATGCCCCAATACAACCCCAACATAACACTGATATTACCTCAGTACTACCCCAACATAACCCCAATCTCACCCCAATATAACCCAACATAACCCTAACACTAACCCTAACACTACCCCAATATAACCGCTAATACTCCCCCAATGGGCAGAGCCCTTGGTCCAAATTCTGGGCATGAGGTCTGAGGATTACTTGGCCTGAGGATTTCTGGGACTCGGAGACTGTAGGTATACACGTGAGCTGTAGTCTTAACTCCTAGTATGCCCTTAGAACCCGTATAATACTGCCTATATAAGCCTCTTGGAAGGAGTTTAGACTATAGCTCATGTAAGCAACACAGGCTTGCTCTGACTCCCCAAAAGTTATGGCGCCTCCCCGGGAATTACCTACGCTTTCGGTTCTGATTGCTTCCAGCTTCGATTCAAGAAGGCCCAATCTTATGGTAGTTGCCATTTTCTTTTGCCATTATCCTTATATAGCCCTATATCACCCTACATCATCCCAATAGTATCCCAATATACTATAACATACTAGCCGCAAATCCTAAATAGTAGTTGCCATTCTATTTTCCATTATCCCAATATAACCCCAATATAACCTCAATATAACCTTAATATAACCTTAATATAACCCTAACAGAACCCCAATATAACCTTAATCTATAAGTCTTGAGGCTCCAAGCCAAGGCCACGACCTCTGGAGTCACGGTGGCCGATCCGGTCAAAATGAAAACCTGAGCAGACCACTGCCCTCAAATTGTCAAGAGCGCACGGAAGATAGTGGAGTTGCTGGAGGCCTGGATGGATATTGGGATATACCCCTAATATAACCCCAATATAACCTAATATAACCCTAGTAAAACTATAATCCCAATATAACCCTAATATAACCCTGATGATCCCTGATGCTATCGCTGCAGTTGCATATCTGTAGCAGATTGTCCAGACGAGGCGCGGTCTCAGGATCAGCGTACGTTACCTTGAAAAGTCTCGAGCGCTTTGCAGAACACAGTGCGGCGGTTCGGTAATGAACACCTATGACATGCCTTGCAATCTCAAGTTGTCTTGGCATCGCAGGCACATGCCATGGGGTGGCAGCAAGCACAGCCGGTGGAACTACGTACGGGAGCAGGAATTCAGACTGCAAGACACAGAAGAGCTCAAAGTGAAAGGATCTGCTGGCCAGTTATATGAAAACCGCAGAAGGCTACTCGTCCCTTGCTTGGCGTCCAAGTTAAGGCCGACACCTGGTAAACTATTTTGGCAGGGTGCTGGCCACGTTTCCGCCAGGTCAGCATCACTCTGCCAGGAGGCCCACCGAGATGTGCCCAACTCCTCCTGCCATATCAGGGCTTGAAAGCTTGTAGAAAGTCAAGGCCTGGGGGCTTGCAAAAGGCAGCACAGCATGCTGCATCCCATGGAGTCCCTGATGTATCCAGCTGACGTTCAGATCCTTACCAGCATTGTTGCCATCCTGCTGTCCAGCATTGTCACCACACTCATCCGTCGTCATCATCATCATCATCATCGTCATCATATCTCGCCATCACCATGCTCACCATAGTCATCATCAGCATCACGACCCTCATCACTGTCCCCGATATCATCTTTGTCATCATCTCCAGCATTACAGTACTATCAAACTGCACCTACAAGCTTGTTGAATTCGAGATGTGCCGAGTGGTCTACCACACCTGCAAACACGGCGCGGGCCTGTCTTTGTTGAGAGATTTGCCTCTCCACGAGAATGCCTCAGTCAGAAGAGCAACAGCCAGTCTTGCTGGAATGCCGTAACTGGAAAGCACACTGTCACGAAACTTTGTACTTCGCTCACGGACTTTGCATATGAGAATTACAGTCGGCCTGATATACTTCTTGAGTGGTAGTTGCAGTCGCTCGCTCTGACACTCTACCACTCTCTCCATTTGGTACTTGTTAGGCTTGGCTTTGAACGGGAGACGGGTGAACCCTGCCAGCTGCTGAATACTGGACCATTGACCTACACCTCGAGCTCCGCTTGCTACATCGCGCTGGCTGGGGAACAAGCCATCACCGCCTTGCACTCCACCCACCGAGCGGGCGACTAGCAGCGGCCTGTCATCAGAATCCACAACAATGTCAAGGATGCGTTCAATTTTCAGGGAGGGCGCAGGCTCGGCTTGAGAAGTTGGGCTTTGGGGATGTCCTGTGGCGCCAGAGCCTGCAAATGATGAATGGAGTTGAGGGCTTTGGGCTGGGCTGTACAGCTGCCAAAGCATCTTCCAACAACACGCTGGCCTGCTGCCTGCTGTGCTTGACACCAGTCTCCCGAAAACAAATGCCTCGGAAGATGTGGACCCGTGTCAGGGTCCCTTTAGTGATGCATGCAGACGCAAGCGCGGCGGGGTATGGAAGGCGGACCTTGCTTTAGAAACGGTCACTTCAATTTCCATCATCCCGGTATGCTCGAGGCGTTCCAGGGCTTGGCAACAACATCACCGCGCACTGAGGAAGACACGGCTCCGCATTGAAGTGCAATTGCCTTGGCGTTGCATGGTGGATTCGATGCGGGACTGATGTGGGAGTTTCCAGAAACACGGGAGCCCCAGTACAGACCCTGGTAAACCCCCATCTGGATAATTGATTCCCCCCAATCCAAGTGAACAAGCCTCCGAACCATTCTTCACTTCCATCCACAATTAGATGACATGAAATTCAGGGACAGCTTTGACGGAGGAATTGCTTCCAGTCGCTTGGCAGCCCGCCTACTTTTCTGTTATACAACCTTCTACTACACTATCAACTCCTGGGATTGCACGTGCTAGTCGAAACTCCTTAGAGGAGGCTATCAGGGATTGTATAGGGGAGTATCATAGGAGTTGTTTAGGGGATGCTAGGAGTTTCGATTATACCTCACATGACGGGAGAAGACGTGGAAGTGTTGGTCGGGAGCGAGCCAAAAACGGCAGGATGAACAAAACGGTTGATGGGGCGAGCAGCATCGTTCGATTGGCTACGGCGAGCGGAGGTCGGGATCTTCAAGCCCGAGCCCTGAAGCTAAAAGGGGTATAGGGTATGAGGGGTATCGCGTGTAACCCCCGAACCCCAAATTCCTTAACCTGAACTCCCCAGCTCATCTAGCAGACCCTCATCACCATCCCCTTGCTCGCAACTCCCAAATGCCTGAGAGCCTGGCCACCAGTAGGCAGGTTCCGATTACACGGCCTGAGCCCAGTCAAAGCTGCTTGGCGGGGCGCACTCAACAGCATATGTACTATAGTCTAAACTCCTTAAAGGAGGCTATATCGGGGACTACTATAGGGGGTTGTTATTAGGGAGGATACTAGGAGTTTAGACTATAGCTCATATCAGGAAGTTATACCTGAGGCGTTCAAGCGTCAACTTGCAGGGCACACCAAGTTGTTGAAGTGTCTAAGGACGGCTTGCATCCACATGGCACATGCAGCTACTATGAGCCCACAACCCAAGGAGCGGCAGTGATGGGACTTGCAACTATACTTCTTGAGGCTATGCCGGCTCCTCCTCAGAAGACTTCATGCATATCGCGTGGAAAGACCCCTTGTCCTCAGAGCAGCAAATACTACCAAAGCAGCGGCATGATTCAACCTGTGCACTTCGGACGTGGAATCCACAGGGTCGTGAACCCAGGCTCCTTCCCTCCTCCTGATACATCTAGCCACCCACCCCCTAAATGATGAATAGTCCCCTAATGGATGGCCCTACAAAATCGGGAACAGCCATAATGACAGGGGCAGATAGCTCCTATGATTCTGAAGGAGATGAGTAGTATTCGTTTGGGCGAATACACTTACGTACACTTCAAGTTGATGCAAGATCTATCATTCATGGGATCCCTATGAACCCTAAACTCAAACCTATAAACCACATCCTAAACCCTGTAAGCCCTAAAACCCTAAGCCCTGAAATCCTGAAGCCATTCGAACGTCAGAGCCTCTCCGCTGCGACATCAGCGCCATGCCGTGCAGTCGCTCCAATGGGTGTCTAGTCCAAAATCTGAAAATTTAAAACAGGAAACAACTAGGATTCTCCAAAAAAAAGGCTATGGCTCTGGGTCAGGGCGTCGGTTGCCAGCCTACCTTTCCCGATGCTATCACTATGATGAGCGACAATATCTTTGCGAATCTCGAACGGTGCTTTTTTGGGTACTGCTCCGGTGCTACCTCTGCTGCTGTATGGCTGCTAGCCAGTAGTGTGGTACAGCTACCATTCTCACATGTGTTAGGCCTCTACTTCTGCGGTCTCTAAGGTCCATCGTGGCTGCGAGACCATAGATGCAGGAGGCTGACAGTCTCCAACAGTCGTGCTGGGCTGATACCACCTCTACATCAAAGGCACGATGTGACCTCCATTATGCCTCAGATTCATTATGTAGGCACACTTGAGGCCCCAACTGTTTCACATATTTTGGGGCCCCCTCGCATGCTCACAGGCGGCACCCACCAGATACCTCAACAACGGACCACAGCCCACCGAGCCTTGAATCACTCATCTGCTACCATAAATCTTCAAGCAGCTGAACCGTCGAAGATTAAGCTCCCACAAAAACGCTGGACCCCCCTAAGCCCCTAAACAGTAAAGCCTGCCTCCTGCGGTGTGCCAACATCGTCCAGGCTGTTGCGCTCAGTCTTGACAACCTCCGCAGGGAATCAGAAATGCTTGAGATAGGAATACCTGAGCACCAAAAGACCAAAAGTATGTGGAGTAATGGTCTCTTTTAGCGGTGCAAATCATGATCATGCTGGGACAGGCCCTACCGTTTCAGCTTGAGATCTGGTCATGCCATCTCCTGAGTTGAGGACCCGTGTATGCCAGAGTACATGCCAATTGAAACTCCAATTATGTGAGGAGTCTCCAAACGCAGATCTCGTAGCTGTTGACTTTGATCTGGCATGCGCTGTCCAACCCGGCGACGGGGGTGGAGGTGCTGTACTGTACAGTATAACAAGTCTTGCAACGAAGACTGACTGAGACAACAACGCCGTGAGTTTCCAGATCTCCACGTTCTCAAATTAGTTCCATCGCAGGCTTCCTATCAATTTAATGTAACTTTCAAAGCGGCGGAACCTGCAATGATCAGACACACAACCTCATCAGAACCCCTTTAAGCCCCAAACCCTTACATACCATGATGAACTGACGCAAAGCATGTCGTCTCATGGTCCGCACACACCTAGGCTTCAAAGCCCTGAGGCGGAATCTTGTTTTCAGACGCAAGTCCGTAAACCTGTAAGACAGCATGCCCTTGCTGGCCTTGAGGCCAATGTATTCCAGCGGCTCGAGGATATCTCGGTAGAAGACATCGTAGCCTTTCAGGCTGGACCTTTGCTGCGATGCGCTTGGACTACTCTAGAATCAGCGGGCCGAATAATGTACCCATGAAGGGCCGCAACATGACGGTTCTTCGTTTGCTGGAAAATGCCCGGTACACCGTCAATGAAGGTCCCGATATGAAAACATCCCAAACCAGGTAAGGAATCAGAAAAAGTAATACCAATACTGTAATGCGGATTCATACTGCAGGCAGAGACTGCATGGTCTAAAGAAGGGTTGTCAGTGACAGGACTTGGAAATTTGAATCAAGGCACCGGATGTCCGAAAAGTCATACGTGTATCTGGGTGCGCCCTAGCTTCTTGGAACCTCTGTCTAAACTCCTTGTATCCCCCTTAATAATCCCTATGATAGTCCCCTACATAATACCCTTTCAAACACCCCTTTAAGGAGTTTAGACTGTAGCTCAAACGGTCTTCATTCAGCCCTCGGCTTTCCCAATGAATCCCTAAGCAAGCATCTTCGGAAGACGCTCTTACATGCGTCAGGTCTGGAGTAGACTACCTCCACTCCCCGTGCTAAACATTCCGTAGAAGTATCTATATCAAAAACACTCCTGGAATATCTCAGACTAAGTGGAGGAGCACATCATGGTTTACGATCAACAAGTACGTCGCAGGTAACTGACTTGACTTGCCCACCCGCGGTCACAAGAACTTGAGTTACTCGAGGTGATATTGCACAGTGCAGCATATCTTCTCAACTCTGCTTCATGAACTGCAAGGGCACTGCAAGGGGAACAAACCGAGTAAAGTCCAGCTACCACAAAGCATCGGTGCTGCATGGTGGTGATGAAGCACGTCACGAAACCCCTCCTGTGCAAAAAATGCCCACCCTGATCCCTAAATGCCTTGTTTCAACTCCATGCTGCCTAGGCATTCCTATAATGCCTACATGCCCCCTCATCCCGGAGCTCTGGGCTTTTTGCACCACCTACCCAACAGCCTGAACCATCGGAACAAAAAAGTTAAGCACATGTGTATGGAAAACATAAATATGCTATACGGGCCGAAAGGGAACCCTCTTGCTATTCGCTTTGCAAGTTCTTGCCCAAGGAGCTTCTGAGGGCCAGTTGGGAACTGGAACTCGTAGCCCTGATTGGAATCCTCGTACCTCAGCATTGGGTTTGGACTGCAGGGCTTCAGGCTTGAGTCATGAGCTGGGGTCTTGGGAGTTAAGAGGTTTTGTGAGTTGAGGTTTCAAGATTTGGGTTTCAAGGCTTCAGGAATTGAACGAGCGATTGACATGTTTGGACTGGATTCTGGCTTGGATGAATGGGCACGCAACATGGTACCACGCTTGGTGGAAGCCCCGATCCATGATTCAGAAGTCCTCGGTAGCAAATCCCGAAAGGTGACATGGCGCATTGCGGTTCGTGGTCGCACGGGTGAGAGGCATGGAGTGTAGATCTTGCTAGTTACTAGTTGAAGCTACTGTTTCTCTGGGCAGCTAAGAGCCAGGCGTGTCTGCTAGCGCCGGAGTGGCTGTCAGAGCAGTGCTCAGTCCGACGCCTCGACGCTTGGGAGTTGAACCACAGGCACCCAGCCAAGAAAGCATGGTTCTTGCCAGTTGTTGGCAACTACCTAGGGCTACCACTGCTGAGAAGGCTTCTTCTGCTGCTGCTGCTGCTACTTGAGTGGCAGGGTGCGGACAGCTGCAACTACTCCTGCTGCGCCATCAAGAGCCACTTGTCCGTTGTCAACATCTCGAAATGTGCCGTCCTCTTCCCGCATGTCCCAAAATGCAAGGACATTGAGTTCTATGTGCACGCCCCTCAGAGCCAGCCCTACACTCCTGGCACATTCCACACGTCCACATAAATTCGAGATGGAACCCGCGTCCGATCCCCCCATTGAACCACATAGGCAATTCTCGACACAGTGGTCCACATTTCTCAACGTACTAGGTGTCCGCGAAAAAACACGGGATCCCCACAAAAGGAGCCAGTATTTGAGCCATAGCCTAAACTCCTATAGCATCCCGCTTAGTAACCCCTATTATAATCCCCTATTCAACCCCCTTAAGGAATTTAGACTATAGCTCACTTGAAGAAACTCACCCAAAACCCCTATTATAATCCTCTTAAAGAGGTTAGACTATAGCTTATTTGAAGAAACTCGCCCAAAGTTTGGGACGCAGGTGCCTGTGAGCAGCTGTCGTCGATGGGTTGCGTCCTTGGGTTCCTGTGGCGGCTGCCTGGGCCGGTTTGGGGTTTAGGATTTAGGGGTTTAAGGCCTTATTACCCCCAACAATGGAAAATCAAATGGAAAAGAACATGGAAAATGAAACGGAAACTAGGGAATATATAGAGGTTATATAGGGGTAATAATGAGGTTATGTTGGGGTTTAGGGCCTGGGCCCATGATTCGAAGCTAGCTTCTCCAAGTACGATCGCACCTAAGCACGATGCAAGATTTGTTTTTGAGAAGCTCTCATATAGTGAAACGTTGATCGCTGAATAGTGGGGGAGGGGGGCGGTTGGCAGGTGCAACCAACTAAAAACTTTCGTAAAATCATTCTGAACCCCCTATTCGATTTGGGGGGGTTCAATTGAGTGCTTTATGAAAAGGCCAGAATACTCTTGGATTGAAAAACCAGATCTTCGCATATCAAGGCCGGGCAATACTACCTTTTGGAATCTGGAATCTGGCGCCGCCAAAATGACAACAGATCATCGATTTCGTGTTAAAAAGCTCATTCGCACTGAGCCCCTGATCCTGGGCTGTCTCAATTATGCAACGGTGGAGCCACTCACATTTGCTGTTAGTGGCGCTTAATTCGATGTCTACTTCATCTGCCATCTGCGATGTGTTTGTTTTTGCAATCAAAATTTCCAATGATCTTAATGAGATTGTAACTGGTTATAAAAATTCTTAAGCGCCAGTATTGGGGGGCGACACTAGTCAAGATCAACAATATCAGAATTTCTTCTGAAAAAGACACACGATTTTTCCCACACTGCGTTTACCCTGTTGTGTGGTGCACCGCCTGGACCAGTCAATGAACCTCACAACATCAAATCCTGCATGCACGCAGTCCTGGATAATGCAACTTTGACGGTCCTAAATGCCCCTCACCCCTCACCCATGTCTGCAAATGCTAAGCTGCGACATCATTTTAAGTTGCTTCCATCAGACGGCTGCCCGTCAAGTTTTATTTCAGGGGGGGCCCCCTTTGAGCAAGGCAATATGAACTTGAAGTGGATATCCTGATATTCCTGATATCTACATACCTCCGTAGCACCGCATGGGGATCACAGCAAAACTTGAAGGTCATTTGGGGCAGGAATACTTGTGTATACATATCTACACAAAACTCTCGCTGGGCTCTCAGAGTGATAGAGCCGCCTCCTAACCCCAAAGCCCGAAATGAGGGTTTAGGGTTGATGGTAGTATCCATTTTGCTTGCCAGTTCATTCTCCATGTGGCTTTCCATGAGTTCTCCAGAATTAAATGGCAGTTTCCAGAAATGGGGGACCACAATATGTCCCCCAACGTGTTATAATCCTTCTTAGGGGGGGGGGGGGCACCCTAAATTCCTTAATTGTGGGAAAGCCTAAACCCTAGATAGTAGCTTCCATTTTCTTTCCCATGATCCCTATAAAGCCGCCTATAGGCCCTGACTTGGGGAAGCCCTACATATCCCTATATGACCCTATCACCTATGACCCTATGACCCTATGACCTGAATCAGTGAGCCTGGTGGACGAGAATGCTGCACCGGCAGCGTGGAGTGCCACAATGAGACCTGGCGAGAATCAGAGAGGTCATCTCTCTTGTTCCTTACTAGAACACCAATGCATACCCTACTATATACGTAATCCCTTGATTATATAGGGATTACATATATAATGGGGTATGTATTGGGATTCTAGTCAGGAATAAGGGACTTTATTATGCAGGGAGCATAGGGGTTATGTAGGGATGTAGGGGAATCATGGAGCCTCAAGTGGAACAAACTGGAACATGAAATGGAAAGTGGGTATATATCCTAAACCCGCCTAAGCCCCGTAAACCCTGTGAACCCTATCAACCCTATACACCCTAAACTTAAACCATTTGGGGTCTGCTCTGGGGTAAGGTGCATATCAGGTTTCGGCGCTCTTTTTCACTGCGTTCCACGACTCCAAACCTGACGCCGTAGACTTACAGGGTTTAGGGTTTAGGGTTTGCAGCTACACACCCAAACCACAAATTGTTGCCTTGCGGCCCCAGTAACGAAACTCAACGTCCCAGACCCTAAAGCCCAAGCATCCAAGGTGTTCTTGTTCTTTCCATCCCCAGACTGTGGTAATCGCCAGCCCCACCCAGCACAGCAAGGAGTGCGCCAGCTCGGTGGGCGCTGCGCCTGATTTGCAGGGCTGCTTGCATACTTCTCATGAACTACCCCTGGTTAGCAGGGAATGAAGGAATTGAGAACAGAATGGAAACTACTGTATGCTTGGAATCGGAACTACCAAAAGGATCTGCTCCTTCCTCCCTTCATTCCTTGCTACCACAAGTGAGAGGACAAAGATTCCCTTGTATGCCATACTGGGAATCTTGCTCTAGAACACCAACAACCTACAGATTTGAGGGTGTTTTGGAACAAGTCCTCAACCGAAGGTGGACTCCGAACTCCTGTGTCGACACCGCTAAACCCTATAAACCCTAACTTACCAAATCAACACCTCAGACCCTAAACCCTATGTAACCGCATTGTAGTCGTTTCCATGTTCTTTTCCATTATCCCTATACTGCCCTATATAACCCCAATATAGCCTTGATACTACCCAAATATCTAAACCCCCAGTTTCCATTTCATTTTCCATGTTATTTTCGATTTGATTCTCCATTATTGGAGTAATATCCCTACCCAGTATCCATCCAGGCCTCCTGCAACTCTACTATCTTCCTTATAGTATATCATAGCAGATTATGGTACATTATAGTTCATGGTAGTATACTATAGATTATTATAGTCTATTATTACTGTAGAACCTATTCCAATCTGTTTTAAGGCATCGCCCGCTCTCGCCTCACGCCGAGAGCCAGCTTTGACATGGCCTGACCATGAAAAAGGCTCGGGTTTAGGTTTAGGGTTGGGGTTATACAGGGATAATGGAAAAGAACATGGAAACTACTGTTTAAGGGATAATGGAAAAGAAAATGGAAACTACTATTAAGGGAGTTATGTAGGGTTTAGGGTTTTTAAGGGGTTATACAGGGACAAGAAAATGGAAACTACCATTTCAGGGGGTTATATAAAGTTTAGGGTTTTGGGGCCAGAGTTTCTCCACATGATCGCTTTTTTTAGAATTCTCAGGAGCACTATGCCCCTCTGAGAACCCCTATGCCTCTGTAGGATCCCAAAGGGCTGACTCTCGGGATAAATCTATGGCAGTTTCCCCAAATAAGGGGACCCCAAAGTAGACCCCAATATATTATAGTCCTTGTTATGGGGACCCCCAATAAAGTACCCCTAATTTTGGGAAACCCCCCTATAGTTCTGAAGTAACAGTGGCAGGTATCAGAAACCGCATTACGCAGTATATGGCCTGGCAGTTTAGGGAACAGACCTTAAGTCTTCGCGATGTTAGAGCAAAAGCTCTCTGAACAAACGATAGCACACCTTGCCACAGAAGTACATCGGATACAGGGAACATGGATGAGGATGAGTTAAGGCAGCAAGTATGACATAGGGGCAGGGGTACATAAGCCTCCTTGACTATTAGAGCACAAATAAGGGATACCTGGGGAACTTGACGGTTTGAACTCTACGTCCAAAAGGACGCCTATGAATAACCTACAGGAGCATGGCAGCGCAAGGCACACTAACATACAACATGCCTGAAAGCAAAGTCTAAGTTTAGAAAAGAGCCTTGGAGTTGGACTTCGTGAATGGGCTTGAAGGTGTTGATACATACCAACTTTCTGGCTGCACCCAGGATTTCGAGGCTTCCGTCCTAAGCTTGCGCCACTGCGCTTCAATCCAAAACCCACTTGGGTGATAGTCTCACCACTCTGCCGCTATAATACGAGCCTGATCTTGCTAGACCTATGGCAGTCTCTCAACAAAGGATTCCCCTCTGCCCACGTGCACCGCGCACCACTGCCGGCGTTTCAGCCTATCTTGGGACACTGACAGACGGACCCATACTTCCCTCATCTCCATGTGAGCTACAGTCTAAACTCTTAGGTTCCCCTTAATAGCCCCTATAGTATTCCCATGTAACCCCCTATATAAACCCTCTTTAAGGACTTTAGATTATAGCTCACATAGAAACCCAAAACCCTAAATAGTAGTTGGTTTCCATTTTATTTTCCATTATCCCAAGATAACCCCAATACACTATAGTCATTATGGTAGTTTTCATTTTCTTTTCCATGATCCCTATATAGCCCCTCTGTCCAGTGAAGGCTACTGTTATTTTTCCCCTATATAACCCCCTTTAAGGAGTTCAGAACCCTAAACCCTAAACCCTAAACCCTAAATCCTAAACCCTAAACCCTAAACCCTAAACCCTAAATCTTGCGTGATGAACCCACATGTGGCCTCCTCTGCTAAGCTCCGACGCAAACACGCTACAACTGCTTGAGCCGAGGCTGAAGGCACCTCCGACCTAGAGTCCCTCTTAAGTAGGTAGGTTTAGGGTTTGGGGTTTGGGGTTTGGGGTTTAGGCTTTGGGGTTTAAGGTTTAGGTTTTGGGGTTTGGGGTTTAGGGTTTTAGGGTTTAAGGTTTAGGTTTTAGGGTTTGGGGCTTAGGGTTTTAGGGTTTCAGGCTTTGGGTTTTAGCGTTTTAGGGTTTATGGTTTTTGGGGGTCTAGGGTTTAAGGCTTTGGGTTTCGGGTATAGTCCCTCTTAAGCAGATAGAATATGGCTTTGGGTATAGTATGATAAGATCCCCATATACCCCATATTCTATCTACTTAAGGGGGACTATACATTTGAAGGTAATAATGGAGGTTCCAAGGGAAGGGAAAACGGAAACTGACATGCACAGTACTGTGGTCTATAATATTTTGGGTAATAACGGAGAGACAAATTCAAAGAACATGGAAATGAAATGATAACTGGCTTTATAGAATATATAGGTGTTAGATATAGGGATTATGTGATGTAGTGGCCTAAACTATGATTTTGAAGTCTGTTTGAAATCTTACGCAATCCTATGATTACACAAGGGATCTAGGACCATACTATTGGGTTATTTACGCCCCTAAAGTATGGAACTTACGGATGAGTCCCTTGTTGCGAAGAAATACCGAGCCCCAAGATAAGAAATGTTCAACACCCAGGCCCCATGAAGATCCTTTCCGTCACTCTGAACTTCTTGTGCAGCTGCTGACTATTACACATCTTGTAGTCTTGTGCTTTCATCAGTTTCTTCTGTAGCTTGCATGAAAAAAAACCCAGGTCAAGACACTTGAACTGTTTGGAAATCAAGCCCCCATGCAGGGGCTTAATCGAAGAGAAGCCTAAAACCTCGATCTACATGTACACCCCTCAGAGCATTGATATAATGGCGTAGTTGCGCTGTTCCAGTTAGCAGCCATTGATCCATATCGATTGACGGACCTCCTAACATCTGGCATGCTTCGCAGATGACAAACCTCATCAACACAGTCACGGGCTTGTTACCATATATAACCCAAATATAAGCCCTATATGATCCCTAGAGTTTCCATGTTCTTTTCCATTATCCCCATATGAGCCATGCCTTGCCTGCACTCCGGCGGCCTTCTGATGCTTACCTCGAACCATCAGTGAAATGGTGCTACCGTCATGGCTAGAACCTTCTTCCCACCTCAGTGATGTTTTACAGCTAGAGGATTACGCGTATTACGGTGGATACTGCCGCGCAGATTTTGCACTGAGAAACGCCTCAACCCCCATGTTCATCCTCACCGGGGCACCTGGTGAAACAATGGTGGCATTTCCAAAGCAGGGAGGGTATCTGTTGCAGTGGCTCTGCCACAAGGAACCGCGCATCTTCTGGCTATTCAGGACCAGTTGGTGCTCCTTAGATTTGGAAACCACCCACTTTGCATCATGCAAAGCTGTGCATCCTCTCAGCATTTATGCCAGTTCCAAGCAGAATCGTTTTGCATCAAAATGAACACAAGTAACGCAGAAATAATAAACTGGAGGATGCTAGGCCCGTGGGAGCCCCACGGTCCATCTTGAACTAGCAAATACGGACAGGAATCGGGAAGACATCTCTGATTTCGGCGTACTGCTCTGGCTGACTGCTACTGCTGGTCGAGTCTGCGACTCTTCCTCTGCAGCTAGAGGCATCGAATCGGTGAGTGCAGCCTAAATTTGTACAACAAGTCTGGATACCTGCCCATTTTCTTGTGTACTTACAACGCTGAACTATGTTGAAGCTTTGTGAATGAGGTCGTCAATCCCAGGAAACGGTTTCAGTTCCTGGTACCTCGGCGAGACACCTATTCGCAAACAGCGCTTCTATACGTCCGCACCGAGTGCTGCCTAGAGCTACTTCAGACTCAAAAAAGCGTTACTGGAAGGATGTTGCGGATTTCCGTCCAATTTTACTCGCTTTGCCATGCTTACAAAACGGTATTCTTTTTGCGTCGCTGCATTTCTGCAAATTGCTGTTAATAGGGGAATGGCTTCTAGCTGCCGGCAGAGTTTGTATTAAAAACTACTCAGACCCCCTGAGAAATCCAAAAAACGATCCTGCAAACACCCCCACTGCTTGACACTCATTCCTGGGCCTCGGTTTTTGGATTCTCTTGAAACTTGGGGTACGAGCGCGTGCAAAGCTTCCTCTGGCGCCACGCTTTCACGCCATGCCGCCATCTTCTGCGTCTGCAGGGCGCCTTTCGCTGTGGTTTGGGGTTGGAAGTCCGCGCGTCGATCCCAACAAGGAAAGTGCCATAAACGACATCCGGAGTACAAAGCCCTTACAACGACAGTCAAACTCTTCGCGCCGGTGGGCAGTATGAATCTTGCCGGTACTCATTCTTGAACAGCACGAGCCAAAGGGTTTAGCTTGGCTAACAGGCACTTTGGGGATGAGTACGCTTTGACTCTTGCCAGCTTGCCTTTTGTGTAGCAATGCAATGGGCATCCAAGAAGGCTCATATCCAGTTATGGCACAACCCTAAACCCGGTAACAAAGAATCATGGCATGGTAGCCATGCTCAGCATTGCAAGGCACATCAAGTTCCCGATCTGCTATGCTGCACTGTCTTGTTTCCTTGGATGCCAGGATGCTCACTTGAGTAGCCGTTTTTGGGTGAGCGAACCCAGGAAGATTGTGTTCCCCTCCTGCAATATCATGCCAGAAAGGAGGACATAATCTTAATCTGTAATTATCAGGGGCTGTAGGGTTTGCAAATAAAACGCTACAGTACTCACCTGAAGGACGCCCCCAAGTGAGCCACTGACTTAGAAACAAATCCTGCACATGCGTATTGAATGTAAGTACGATTATTACTATTTGTACCATTATTACGATTATCACGATCATTCCTATTAATGCTACAGTATTACTACTGTTGTTACTATAGCTACTAGTATTACTATAATCAAGTCATGAACTATTACTATTATTATTGATTGATTGCCTGTGGGTCACGCGGACCCTTGCTTTGCAAGGCATCGACGGCTGCACCAACTACTATTATTAAAGTATTAACTCTTTCTGCTATTAAGAAGTTATGAACTATTACCTGGACCCCAAAAGTATGTACAATAATGGCCTTTATGGCTATTATTAGGGGTTTAGGGCTATTATTTTACATACTTTTGGGGTTTAGGTACTACTATTATGAGGTTATTAACTACTATGACTATTGAGGATTTGGGACCTCGCCTCGCTCCGTGCTTGACTTCTGGCAGAGACCTTGCACAAATTCACCCCTACAGGCCGCAAACATGCTTCCATGGTCACGTGCCCAGATGGTTGGGGCCAGAGTTTCCCATAACTTAAATAGTGATACTTAAGATGATAGTGCTGATAGAAATAGTAGTAATAATTGTCATAAGAGTCATAACAGTCATAAACGTATTAATAATAGACTCCTAGTCATAATAA